CCCCAAAACCCCAAAACCCCAAAACCCCTAAAGAATGGATTTTAATGGAATAAAGTTCAATATTTATTTTGAAATATGGAAATTAGGAATGGAGGTGGGTCAGACAGGGATTTAAGCGATTCTTGGAGGTTTATATCAGATGGTGAGCAACTTGGTGATCCTAATATGCAGAGTGATAGTCAGTTGTCGCTTATATGGAATGATATGGGTTTAGGAATTGTTTCTGGGCATAGTATGAAGAGACTTAGAAAGATTGCAAGAGATGTCTGATATGCTGATAAGTATCTTAGGATATATGTATTGAATGATATGAAGAGGCGTCCGATCCGTCAAGCACAGATCTATAAGTCCTTGCTCAGATCAAAGAAGCAGCTGGCAAAGGTTGTCTCAAAAATTGAAAAAAAGAAAGAAAAGATCCTCTCTTCAAAGTTTAAGCAGTTGAGAGAATCCATAGACACTCTACTGAAAGAGCATTTAGCGTCCAGAGATCCTGATTGTGAAGATGGTGAGTAGCTAAAAGGATGATCATAGATCAATTATATATGTTCTAACTTCAAATTGTAGTATTTAGCAGCTTGAATAGAACCTTTAAGACTCAATTCAACCTACTAAATTTTGAAAGTGTCTTTAGCTCTTCTTCTTTTTCTAGCCTCATACTTTTAGTTTAGTTAAAACATATACTTATTAATTTTTGGTAATTAGGAATGACATTAGAACACCCCAAACTTCTGAGTTATCTGAGCTTAGTTCTTAACGTCCACGGTTTGCAGGGTCTTTAAAACTTGCAAAAATTAACTTACCGAGCTTACCATTGACTGCATTATGTAATTTCAATCAATATGTTTTACTTAAAGATGATATTTAGTCGGCTAACAAAGAACAATTCATACAATGAATATAGCCTACAATTTAGACGATCCAATAGAACTGACTATTCCTATTATAATTCAACAAGCCATTATATTGGGTGGTATGAGATAAGCTATCTGCTTCTTTGCAATGTTTATAAGACTGCATTTATCCAAACTACAAACTTTTAGCCAGTGAAAGTTATGCTGTCTAAATTCACCAAACCTCTGATCTACAAAAGTGAGGGATGCTGATCATGCTTCATGGCTAAAAACTTGATACTAATGATACTCATAGGGTATAAAACAGAAGAAAGTGATCCACTACAAGGCTCAGAGTGTCAGAAGATGCCAAGCCCATATACGGAAGATTATCCAGATGAAGGCACACTCCAACATGAATCTGACACTTTAGATCGAAAGTTTTGGGCTATTGCTAATTCCAACATTTATATTTTTGGTGGCTTCCTCAGAAGATCAATTGACTACAGCCCAGACTGTAGCATTTCCTTCCAGTTAGATAATAATATAGACAGGAATATTTTAAGAAAACTAAAATTTGTGGATGCTCCTAGCATAAATAAAGCTTCTTTACGAAACTTACATTCAAATGGTATTTGTAAACATGCTCTTAAAGCTTTGTCTAAGAGCAGGTATCAAAGTGTAGCCCTAAAAGCTCCTTATGAAGGCAAACGTCTCGGTTACCTGCCTGAGGTAATTAAGATATGCTCTATGACGACATGATCTATTGATCTGGAATATTTTGTAATAAGCAAAACCCAGCTGAGACGAGTATTTATTAATTGTAAACAGGTGCTTCAGCTAAATCTGAGCTGATGCTCACTGTCTTTACCTCCTGTATCAGAATTCCCTCGGCTGTTGAAAAGAACTGCTATCCAGAAGCTTAACTTAACGCTATGAGCCAAATATAGTGGCTGGGAGACCCATCCAAAATACTTAGTTTACCTTGTAGAAGGATTTTCTAAATCAGACCTGAAGAGCACCTTAAAAGCAGTTGAGTTTGCTTATGACGAAGCTATATTTGAAGAAAAGCTAGCATATAAAGCATTTGAAAAGTATAGGCTTGGTCATGTCAGGATTCTTGGTGATAATGAGACCTAAAAATCTATTTCAATCAATCCTCATTGCTCTGGGGTTTTGGGGTTTTGGGGTTTTGGGG